GAGCACTAGCAGAATAATATGCTGAAAGGCTGCATTTGGTGAACGGGGTTCGGCTTGATGAGGGACTCGTATGTTCACAGCATACACTTGGTCCTCCAGTTGATTCTGCGTTTCATTTCCTTGGCAGCCTGCCATTCCTCCTGCCTGGCCTGCGTGGGTCCTGAGCCCTCGCACTGCACCGCGTGTAGGAAGCCCGAGCAGGGGCTGCAAGTCCAGCAGCTGTCCGGGGCAGGGGCTCCCTCTGGAGCGTGTCTCTCCCAGTGTGCAGCCCAGTTTTACCTGGAGAGCACTGGGCTGTGTGCAGGTGAGTGAGCACGGTCTGAGAAAATGTCAGGTGGGCTCTGGGATCACCTCTCGGGAGAGCCTGTGAGACGAGGCCAAAGCCAGGAAGACCTGTGTTTCCCGTGAGAGGGTCCCAGGATGCTGTGGCTGAAGCAGGCTACCGTCGTGCAGAGCAGGGGCCCCCACCAGTGTCCCCCCACCCTTAGTGAATAACACACGGCCTTGAAGAACTAGTTCCTCCCCAGAGTTACACTCTCAGCAGTTCCAGACAGAAATTCTTTCAGAGACCAGTATGGTTCGCTGAGAAAGACCCAGAGCTCATTGTAGAATTTCATTTATTATTTCTTCTCATTTGCTGCTGTGAATATGAATTGGTCTCTGCAGGGCAAAATCTGGACTTGTGTCAAAATTTAGAAGTGATTCCTGCCATTGCCTTGGCTTGTCATCTGCAGAGAGTTGCTGACGTCCTGAACACTGCGGCTCCATGGCCAGGTCATCCGCGGGTGGATGAGGAGACGAGAGGGAAGGGCATAGATTCCCGGGAGGTAGGGGAGGCCCCTCTCTGCTCCGACAGGGAGCTGCCTTGCTGCTGGGTGGCTTGTTTGACTCTGAAGCTATGTGGAAAAGGAAATGATTCATTAATCTTATATTTTTTATTGTAAACATAGTTCCTTAAAGGAAATTTTGAAAGTAAAGTAGAAAAATAATCCACCCACCACCTGAGCCCAGTGGCCTTTACCATTCTGCTCTAATATCTGAGTCTTTTTTCCTATTCATGACTTTGAGTGTTTATTTTTGCAACATAACTATAAGCATGCTGCAAATTCAATTCTGTGTCATATTGCATCTGACATTGCTTAAAAAACAAAAGAAAATTTGTATCCTATAAGCTCTCTTACTAAAGTGGTCCAATTTCCACCCTCACGTGGAAATGCTGGATTTTGAGGTTGGTATGGTGCAGAAGGAAGTAGGCGGATTGGAATACAGGGACCCAGCGCCACTTCCCCTCTCTGAGCCTTTGCTTTCACGGCATTAGGACACTTTGTCTTTCACGTGGCTTTCTGCCAGGGTCAAAAGTTAGGAGTGTAACAGTGGCTGATAAATTGTAAAGCCCCCTACTCAACAGGTATGAAGCTCGGTACATAGGCTGAGGTGTTCGGGAACATGGAGGGGTGATCCCCTGGTCCCTGGCAGGCTCCAGGGGGTTCACAGAGTGCCCAGAAATGGGGGAAAGGGTCACACCTCTTCAGACATCCTGGTTTCTGCCCACGCAGGCATTGCCCACACTCTCTGTGGCCACGTAAACCCCTGCGGCTCTGTTTTCACAGTGGCTCATGGAACGTGGGAGTCTTTGTTAACGCTAGAGCCCCACTGCCGTCCTGGGGCACACACCACGCAGCCCCCTCCCACTGCAGTCTGGCTGCGTCCAGGTGTCCTAGCGAGGGTGAGGCTGCTCCTTCCTGAGGGACCCGCAGACTCCGGGTGGGGCGGGAGTGTTTTCTGCTGTCTGTTTAATTGCTTCTCAGATCGCTTCAGTGGGTTTAGGTTTACCAGACAAGCTTCCTCCAGCTCCTTCTACTTTCTGGCAAGTAAATCCCCTAAGGGAATTAATTACAGCATCTAGCCCTGCTAGATGTGGGGAACGTACAAGGGGGAAAAAAGGAGAAAGCGTAACTTTTTATCTGTCTCTCTTTCTCTTTCATTTTTCATTTTTGGCCCACGTTGTTACAGAAGTGATTTTTGATTTGTTGAAATCTCTGAAACGAATCTGCATAGTTTTCCACAGCCTTGGACTGTGTGCCCTGAGGTTTTAGTGGAACCCACAGAGGTATCAGACCTCCAGGAACACTGGCCTTTCCAAGAATTCAGAGAGATGCTAAGTGAGACCTTTGGTCTTCGTGACGCACAGGTTGAAAGCAGAGAAGCTAGAGAATAAGCCCATGGGAAATTCCTCACTGTGTTCTGATGGCTTGATTTCCCCCAGACCCCGTGATCCAAGGAGAAAACAAGACAAAAATCTTAGAATTCTCAGTGTGCAGTTAGTTGCTGCTTACCATTTTGAGCACTGTATTAAAAATTAAAAAATGGGGAATTTGGAGTGGGGTCAGAAGAGAGAAACAAAAATGGTTAACATTTTTAAAGTCAGAATTGTAAAAAATGAAAATTAGAGTGACCAGGGTTCTTCAACCCAGAAAACAATGTGGCCATTTATTTGGTGCCCACTGCGGGACAAGTGCCTGGCTGGCTTTGCACACTTAGTCCTGATACAGCCTCGGGGTCAGCAAGGTAGCAGTTTTCTAGGAGAAAGTTGAGACTATAAGGACTGAAGCCAGGTAGTCAGCAGAGCCAAGTCCGATGGGAACCCAAGTCCAGTATCCCATATCCATCCTCGTGGCCCTCACGCTGCCGCGTCACTTCTCAGAAGGGTACGGCCACCTGCTCCGGGTGGGACAGCTGCTGAGGGAGAAGCACAGCGGGCTAATGCTGCAGGGTTGGGGCATCCTAAATTTAAGAGAATATCCTTGACAAAAGAAAGTTTCCTAGGATTCCTTTATACAGGCATCTTTAAAAAAGCTTAGAATCGAATCCTCCTCGAGTGGCTTAATTGCGGTCCCGTGGGAAAGGACTGGGTTGACCGCTCGGGTCCCTCATAGCCCCGCGATTTTATGCTCGTTCACACAGTATTAGTACCACACACAGAGCTGTCTACTCATGTTGATTAGAAACCCCCATGCAGTCTCCACCAGCTAGGTGGTGGTTCTCAATTTACAAGTGAGGAGAATTCGGCAGAACGAGGTTAATTGAGTTGCCCACGATTCCAGTGGGAGACCGAGCACAACTGCCGATTGTTTCCAGCCTTAGCTGAGCATCAGGTGTGTTGATTGACGTATTTCCTGTCACTCATCCCGTATCTCTGGAAACCTTTCCGCCTTCCCACAATCTGTTCCACTTTCAGTTCTGCTGAAGTGTTGTGTCTGTATCAGGCCTGGGAGTCCTATGGGATTGCGTTAGATTCTTCCCATGTCTTCCCAGAAATACCCTTGCCTCCCTGCAGAACATTTAAAAAGGTTGGATATTTGTATGTCGTGTGTGTGTGTGTGTGTGCGCGCGCGCGCGCGCGCGCTACGAGGCGGTTTCTTTTGTAGCACCTGCCATCTCAAATGCATTTCTATAAGGGAGAGAAACACAACTGTTTTCTGGAACTCTCCCCCTTCCTTTCTTCGAGATTGCAGCAAAGAGTGATTAGAATATTACAGCTGCTAATGAGAGCAAGAGGCAGATGCGTTACAGGAAGAAGCAATTTACTTAGAGGCTGAAGTGGTGTCAGAAGTTATCATGAAAGTTTTTACTCTGAGCAACATGACAAACCCAGGAGTTAATCTAGTGGAAGATGAAGCAACGATACCGAAGATATTTGATGAAAATCCAAGTCTGCAATTGGAGGACAAAAATATATATAAAATTAACAGTGATCGAAGAGAACACCGCTCATTGGAAGCTGGAGGACAGTCTGTTTTTATTCATTCCTTCTGCGGACGTTTACTGAGTGTCTCCTGGGTGCTGGGCATCTGTAGGTACCCACCAGAGCTATACTGGTGACTGAGTCAGATGAACATTCCTGTTCTCTAGACCTATATTCTAGTGAGAGAAACAGATAATAAATGAAAAAAAAACTGCAGCAACAAAACCCGTGGTACCCTCTTGGATGGGGGACTGGGCTATGGGGGACTGGGCTATAAAGCCCAGGGCCAGGTAACGGGGGAGAAGGAGGAATCGGCTGAGCTCCGGCGAGATGGGTACGGCCACCTGCATGTGTTTGTCCTGCGTTTTTGGTTCATTTTCAGAAATGAACTGGGCACTTCAGAAGGCGGAGCTTCGACATTACGTTTCTTTTTCACACGGCCTCTGTGTTTCCAAAGCGTGGCTAGAATTGCTGATAAGAAAGAAGGCGTGTTACTAATTGTAAAAGGTAATTGGGAGGCATTTTCAGTAGCCAGCCAAAATTGTGCATGTTTATTAAATAGTAACATTTAGAAATGGCTAAAAGAGGGATTTTACTAATTTCACCCAGAGTTGATCTCATCTGTTTAACGAAGTGCTCCCTAGCACCGACAGGCTCAAGTTTCTAAAAAACAAACAAACCCAAACCCAGGAAACATCCATCCCACTAGCCCTCCACCACATAAAACAAATTATCAACAAATGAATAAGAGCCCAAGCCCTTCAAAACATCAAAAAAGCATCCCTTTTTCATCAGTCTTCCTCCAGTGGTTTCCCTGCCTCTGTGGGTCAGTGTGAGCCCAGACGAGGTCTCCAGGGTAGAGCTGGGCGGGGCTTGCTGTGTCGCACGGCTCCAAGGGCACCAATCTCACAGCGACCCATGTGCCCGGTTCCTCCTGAGTCGTTCAGTGACAGCCCATGTGGCTGCCCAGGCCTGGACGGCCAGGACAGAGGACCCGGAGCTCTTTGTCTCTTGGTGGCCTTTCCTGGGATCAGGCCACATTACTCAACTCAGTTTCAGATTCTCCTTCCACTCCAACGGAAGGAATTTTTTTTTTTTTTTTTTAACGTGTAAACGATTCAATTATTTCCAAGACGTAGCTTTTAGTTGAGGTCTCTGTAGAACAGAGCTTCTCGTAGGAATCTCCTGGGAATCTCGTTAAAATGCAGATTCAGATTTAGTGGGACTGGAGCGAGGTCTGAGTTGCTACATGTATAACATGCTTCTAGGGGAGGCTGGTGTTCCTGGTCCGTGGGCCATAGTTTGGGTAAGCAAGGCTTGTGATCAAAGAAGGATGAGCATATCACTTTAGCACCAGTGTACTTCTTTCTCTCTTAAGCAGTTTAACAAAAAAAATTCCGAACTTTTGTTTTTTCTCGTTGCATGCATTTTACATACTACAGAAACTTTAGAAAATGTAAACAAAGAAAAAAAAAGAGAAAAACATCTATTACTAGGTTTCCTAGATTTAGCAAATAAAAATTTACGATTTAGTAAATTAAAAAAATGAATAATTTTTT